CTCTTATACCACTATGCGTCCTTGTTGTAATGACATGATTTGTAAATGCTTTATAAACGACGTATTAGATTCATTATTCGACAACACTGATTCAGTTTTACAACAAGGCGAAATCAGTAGAGTAGTAGTTACCGTTTCCGCTTTCCAATTAGAAGGTCGTGAGTTCAATCCCAAGCTCAACCCTTTTTTTTATTTGTGTAGAACAAAATTAATTTAAATAGTAATCATCGATCACATGACTCACGATAATGAATGCATTGATCTAGTTTAAAATATAACCGAGCATCCTTTCTTTCGACTTGAAGATGTGAAGAGGCAACATTGATCTCATTTAAAACAACAATGAATGAATTAATCATTCCCACAGGGCCTTGAAGGAGCTAGAGTTGCGATCGGGAGTGATGATAGGTATTTACTTTCATGTAAGCTTTTATAGATTATTGAGTTGCCCATATGATGAATTCTAGGATAGCTCAGATGACAAGGCAAGCGGCTGGTGATCGAAAGGTACATGGTTCGAATCCCCATACAACGACACGTATAAGTATTTAATAAATTTTCTAATATCTGTGTGGTGCGAGCCACGTTAGAAATAATGAAATACAATACCCTTAAGAAACACACCCTTCCCTGTCCCTTCTTATTTTCGGGTTAATTTTCCCACAGTTGAATAATCGTTTAATAAATGTATAATAATGTCTAATTAAACGTTACTTCACATGAGAATCAAGCGTATACAGAGCATCACTGTTTTAAGGAAGCAGTGATGTCTAATAAACGCTGAATAATCAAAAAATTTATCGTATGAACTCTGCTACAACTCACATAAGTCGAATAAAAGCTTCTCGACATACCTTATACAACACCAGTTGTTCAATGTTGTGGTTGAATAAATTCTCCAGATTTGTGTGAACAAAGCCTGAACAGAAGTTATTATTAAAAATAGTACAAGTACTATCAAGCATGCAGTTGAATAAAATGGCCAAGAAGTCGTTTCTTCAATAGACGATTGTTTGTTGGGTATTGAATGAATTCACCAGCATGCGACATGCGTACCTTTGCCGTCGTTCCATTCGCATAATGGAAGATTAAATCCTCCGAATTGAATGTCAGAGCATGGAGCATCGCTTCCTCTGATTTGAACTTCATGAAGACTCCCCTTTCCTCACCAATGCGATAAAAAGCTTCCATTTCAGCCGGATCCGCGTCGAGTGCTGTGGCGAAATTTACTATCTCTCCGATGTTTGGTTTGGCATCACAATGGCTGAAGCTAAACTTGATGGTGTTTTTTACTTCACACATCTTGCACCGTAGAACAAAAGGCACCGAACTGCTAGCAACGAACAAAGAGCAACTATATAATAGCGAGTCTCGAAAACAGGCTATCGTGTGGTTCACAACGAAATAAAAAATCGACAGCTGCTGTAGACAACTGTGGGACAACTGTCGCGAAGTCGCGATCGACGTTGGATTTTTACAGAGACAATAACGTTGTTTTTGTACCAAAAACCGTCAACCCCCCAAATTCACCAGAGATTCGTCCGGTGGAAAGTTCTAAAATCGTCCAAGGTGTTTAAGAACGAGCTGGAGTTGCAGAAAGAATTAATGAAAGTGACCAAAAAGGTCGGCTCCACCATTGCACAAAATGTAATAAGGGGTCTTAAGGGAAAGGTTCGGGCTTTCAGCGATCGAAAGGAAATTGAATAAAGTAACTATGCCGAAACATAATCCATATGTATTAGTTCATTCCCTGAAAGTTTCAAGAAAATCCGACTTAAAATAAATTTTTGGCGAACACTTTTGTCTGGTGCATTTTTTTCGAGTACGGGCCTTACTGAAAAATCCTGTTCCCCTAGTTTGAAGTAGTCAAGACTAGGAATCCGTGGTAGATCTTACATCCCGTAACGTACCACGAAAAGGTGATCTACCCACGTTACGGGGTAGGCTTACTGAACTTAATACTGCCGAAACTGGTTCATTAACAAAATAAACATTAAAAGACTATTTTTCAAAATCCTGGAATATCAAACTTGGATAAATTTTGGGGAATCTGGAACAAATAGAAATATTTAAGATGCCGGACAGTGAACATTTTTTAAGACCCCAGATTTGAAAAAAAAAGTCATGGATCTTATTCTTTAGGGATGATTTCAAAGGAAGTCTGGCAGGAATTGTGAGGAAAACATCAAGTTAAATTTAAGGACTGCTTTCGAGGTAGTTCTGTGGAACTACCAGGTAATGAGAATTTCAAGACTGAACATGAACATAATTTAAAGGAAATTTTTTACAGAGAAATCCAAAAGAATTTTTCGAATAGAATTCTCATGATAATTTCACGATAATTCTGAGGAATTCTCCTTCCAGAAATTTCTGCCAGCATCGAACGGAAATTCGATGCATAATTTCATGCAAATTTTCGGAGAATACTCAGGGTTTGTTAAGAGTGGAATACATTTAAATGTAAGAAGAATTCCAGAAGAACTTCAAATAAATAAGAGGAGAATCTCTTAAGAGTTCTGACTAGAATTCTAAACCAATTTTGAAGCGAATTATTGCGATTTGTGAGGAGAATTATAAGATAATTCTAAAGAGACTTCCAATATTGTTAGTAGAATTTCAAGGCAAGGAGAGGAATGCAAATAGAATTCTGAAAAGATATTAATAATTTAAATTTATTATTCTGAGAATTATTCCAATCGCATTCTTAGCAGTATTCCAAAGGAATTGGAATTGGATTGCAGAACATTGGACCAAGATGCCTTCCGTTCATTTTAGCAAAATAAAATGTTTTTATGAAATTATGGGATCATAAGATATTATGATGATATTTGTGTGTGTAAGTAACAAGAAAATATTCTGATGAATGCGGGCGTCTTAGTGGAATACCTGTATAAAGAGAGAGAGAGAGAGGGAAGGATTAGTAATTTCCATTTAATTCCACTAGCTTATTTGCTGCGCAATGTGCAGACTTCTTCAGTGTCATGTACTAATACTCGATAGTATTTCTGCACATTGTAGAAAAAATACGCGTATCTGTCAAAGATAAGCAAATAACGTAGTGAAATTAAATGGAAATTAAGAAAATTTTGTATAATTTTTGCTTGACACATAATAATTGTCAATTTAAGTACACGCACCCTATTTAACTGAATGGAAGGCACCCTATTAGGACTTTTATGCGTATGAAGGCAATGCTGGTGTCTATAGTGAAACTAGTCTATTAGTACAAGACACTAAAGAAATCCGCACATTGTAGACGAAATATGTGTAATTCTGTCAAGCAATAAAGGTAGTGGAATTAAATGTAATTTTATTTGACCCATGCATTAACTTTTTTGCAAGGCGTCTGCTTCTAGGTCTGCTTATTAGTTAACTTATACATTTTATGAATAATCAGCAATACAAATTTGCCAAAAGGTATACGGGGTTTCTATCCGTATAGATCAGTGCACGAAGATTTGCTGCACTCTTCTCTCACCCGTAAATTTGGACAGTTTTGGTTTTGGGTGGTATGTTTTGGCTCCTATCGTTGCTATCTCTTTTACTCATAGACAAAATTATTGCAACCAATAAGTGAGGTTAGGAACCGTGCAGTGCTCTATAGTCACTTTCCGGCATCGACATTTTACTTTGCGAAAATACCTACTAAAATATCTGTCAAAACGTAGACGGACCAAGGGGTAAGTCACTCAGCACATTGTGGGAAAATTAGATTTGGCACAGCTTGGGCACATCCATCAGCACACCTTCGGCACAATCTTGTAGGCATTGGATTGTTGTAAATATAAAGGGAGCACTGCTGGACAACTGTCATTGAAGCTGTTCACAACATTACTTGCTGTTTGACGGTCTGAATGTATATTCAGGAACATCCTCTCATTGAATATACCAGTGGAAAACAGACCAGCAGTTACCTTCTCGGTTCACTTATAGATTTAAATCCGAAATGTAGGTTCTAGCGTAGGCTCGAGAAAAAGAGACAAGGCCCAATTATTACTTTTTATTCAAATAATGCTGCAACTCACACGAAACAAACTACAGAAGTCATATTCATCATCCTCTATATTCGGTCTTCAACAATGTTCCTCACCGATTCCAACTGGTCGCTGATAGACCGTTGCTTTTCGCATAACGAAAGGCTAGTTTTCTCGTCTGCCGACTAATCCTTGCGATTTCAAACCAAAACATTCAAAGTGTCAGGATTTGCCGGGTTGGGTATTCTAGAAACAATCGCAGCTTGCCCTATGACCGGTACAATGACCAATCTTATGTCTTCTACCCCTTGAGACGGACACATTCCAAACGTCGTTCCAAACATTCGTTTTGAAGACGATACATATAATAACTTTCAGAATTAAATCGACCACTCTATTAGGAGCGCATGGAAAGTGAAAGTGCTATAGCCAAGCTGAAAAGGGAGCATCCATTAAGTACGTCGCGCTCTAAGAGGGGGTTTCCAAATATGTGACAACCAATGTGGTTTGTCTTAAGGCATGTATAAGGCTAATTTTTTGAAAAAAATATAAGTCAAACACATGAATAAAATAATTAATTTTCGTTTCGTGCATGCAAATCAAGTCGAGAGTCACCTCACTAGTGACAGAGAGTCCACATGACTCGCAGAATAGGCCTGTATGTGTAAACACTTGCACTGCCGTCCCATGTTACTTTTGGACGTTGTTCCCTTTTGTTCTTTGTAAATTTTCGAATGAAAATAGAAACATATTTCCTGAGGCATAAAATCTCTGATCACGCCTTCTTTCTGAAGGGAAGTAAAGCCGTTGATCCTCGGTCGCATGAGATGATGGGTCGATAGGTAGGGTCCAGGTGTGGAGCTGCCTCCCTGGCGTCGGTAGCATTGGTACTCAGTACGGAGAACAAGATCGACGGAAAACAAATTAAGGGAACGTCTGCTTCATTTCATGGGCCATTATGGGTCTGACAGCCAACAATTTGTAGACAAAAAGGACATTTCTTTCCATCCAATACACACGCACATATTCTCTAAATTGTACACAAGTTTCATCCATCCTTTTTTAGATCCTCGTTATCCTTAGCGTATTATTGTATTAATAAATTTACTTGAAATATATTAAATCATCATCTTCTTTTTTCCATCATCATCTTCTTCTTCGTTATTAATTCATTTGTTTACTGTAATCATCATATTCGCTTAGTTCAAAAGATTTTTGCATTTCATACTTTTGTTTTTGTTCGCGGATAAGTTTATCTAAACCAATCAATTTCTTGTTTTCAGTGAAGTTTTCGATTTTTTTTTACATTTTCATCAATTAGTTTTTCGAATTTTCGTTTTTTTTGTTGCTAAACGGTCAAATCTATTTGCATAGTTCTTTACAAGTGTGTTTGTTGTGTATGTATGTATGTGTGTGCATTCATCACTACAATTATTGTTTTAACAGTTAAATTGTAGATTTCATTTTGCATCTTGTTAACATTACTCAACTAAGTTTTATTCATTAATTTAATATTTGTTAAATAAGATAAAATTTTCAAATATAATAAAAACAATTGTGATTTGAAAATGTGTAAAGTGATTGAAGTTATTGGTGAAGAAGGGTGTGCTCGCGGGAAAGGAATAGTACGGGTAAGGTGGTGGTGCTAAAGAGATGAGCTATCCTATTCGAGAGTAATAATTACGAAAAAATGGGTGATGTGTTCGATTGCTTTCACCCAAAGCTACACTCTGTGAGTTCAAACCGCATTCAGAAGGGGTTACTATTAAACTTTGCCGGACTCGTTCTTGGACAAACTGTCGTTAAAATGCATGAATCGCTTTGCTTTGACTAAATTCTACCTCTGAACATTATAGTGTTGATGCTGCTCGATTTTTGTGTGTGAATACACCCACTCGTTAGGGATGAATTGAATTGTAAATAATTCAAAAAATTACCATTCGGAATCCAGTTTAGCTTAATTCTTACACAAACACACACACGGAAAGATAGTGCAATGAAATAGTGTCACAGTAAGGAAAATAATAAACGTAAAGTATGAAAGTTGACAGCGAAAGTGGACTTTCTAAGTTACTTACTTCTGCTCATCAGCTATTTACAGAGAAAAACAAATACATAATACGGGATTGGCAATTTGTGGGAGGTTTTGGTTTTGTAAAATTTTGGCAGCTCGAATGGTTCAACCAAATTGTTAACTTTATTGCTCCGATTCAAGTTGGTATAAATTTTCTGAACAGGCAGTATTACAGTTTTGAATTATTTACAATAGTTTAAACTCGCACGCTGACAGTATTTGCTCGTACAGTATCTAAACAAAGTAAGTAAAAGACGGGAAGACTCTATTAACAGTAAAAGTTGTTTCGGTACACATTTGTCGTCCAACCTGGCGGTGGTGGGGGAGGTACTGTCAGCAAATCAATCGGAAAGGACGGTGTAATATACGTTAACAAGGGACAAATAAACAATCATAAACGCCTATCGCTAAAAAACGGGAGGAGAGGGGGAGGGGAACAACATGAATCATATTTCAACCGGCTAGATCACTTCGCTCGTCTGGTCCTTCTTCGCGTCTGGGCTATTATTCAGTGTTGATACATTCTGCTAAAGGCACGTTCCACTTTCTTCCACTTTCCACCTTGTAAAACTTTTGCTGCCATTTCAGGTTTGCTTTCTTCTTAAATGTTAGTTTTCGATTTTCGTGATTTTTGTTTTGCTTGCTTCTGGCTCTAACCTAAATGTTAGCGGATGACTCCATCGTAGTTCAAATCATTCTTCTTTCCTTTTCATCTCGCCTTGACTCAGGCGGGACTTTTACAATCAATGGAATCGCATGGTTGTTTGTTGCAGTGTGGCATCCAGTGAATGTGTGTGTGTGTGTGTATGTATGTGTGCTGATCGTGCTGCTGCTGCTGTTGCTACGATACCATCCCGCTTACAACGGTCGAGTAAAGTTGGCTGGGAACATGCCCTTTTCGTTTGTGCCCTCCTTGATGCCCATCAGCCAGCCTTCCTCCTGAAATGAGAAAGGTTTTGAATTAGGATTCCCGATTTCTCCAAGAGCATTGTACGAAACGAACCTGATCCTCTTGGTCCTCGTACTCGATCACGTTGATCGTGTCACCGACCTCGAAGCTGAGCTCGTCGACGTCCTCTCGGACGTACTTGTAGGTGCTCTTCACTCGGTAGAGGACACCCGGTGGCAGATCGGTGGTAGTGGCGCCTGGAAGAAGAAATGGTAGAAATTTAGTTTTATGTATTTTGAAGATAAGGATTTTTGGAACCATATACAATAAGACCTGGATGAAGGAGATTGCCAATAAAGGGTATTTTAGTTTACCATCTTGTCACGTGCTACTTTAAATTGTTATTCACGGATAACGAAGAGCACCTTGAAATACATTTCTTTAGAAACACGGGACACACATTTAAGTGTGTCTGATTGAAAATTTTAAATATATTTTAAATTTAAGGATCGATTCTCTTCAACATTTACTTTTGTTAATTACTCGACTGGATTGGCATTCGTCTATGCATTTGCTTCTGGTTATGTTGCTAGCCTAAAGTCAATACAACCTTTAACAGCACTTGTATTAGAAACATTTCGAAAAAATCAACCTTAACAATGCAACAGAACCAATGTACTATTGCTACATAGACTTTCTCTTTTGGCTCTAAAAACATTTCCCGTTGTGTTTGCGGTATTAAAGGCTAGGTAATTTCTTCTTTCATCGAACTATGTGACTAAAATAGCCGGAAATGTATTAACAAAGCCGTCGGAATTCAAAGGTCAAAATCGATGAAGAGAATTGATCGATGTTACATTGGACCTTCAGCATTATTCGCAGTTAGATTCTGAACGCAATGAATGTGCTATTTGTTGGATTTTAAGAAACTTATCTCTAACGAAACCAGCAAACTACAGCACTCCACAGGGGTCCGTTGGTGAAGTATAAAGATGTTTTAATAAAATAAAATCAAGCGCAAATTTTCAAATCGACGGATCACCTTTGCGAAGCAATGACTTCGTTCGTTGATTCATCGTAGCTGATACCTCGCCCACACATACTAACACCACCACGAGGAAGGGGAAAATATCAGTTTCGACACATGGACGATCGAAGGCATTGTTGACTAAAGCAGATGCGTCAATTTGAAAAGTTGCGCCTCAAATCAAAACTGTCTTGGATCATTGACTCCAATAATGTATGCAGAGCGGAGGTGGTAAATGTACATTTTAACTGTAGAGATGTCATCACTACATTGTAAACCATGGCCCACTTAGCAATGGAACAAACTCTTTTGCTTATTACAGCGCTCCTAGTGAACGTTTTCGGACGTTTTTGAAGTCTATTTGATGCCAACAACAATAAAAATAACAGTGTATTTTTCAGTTCATAAAATGCTCTTGTTTTGGAGACAGTCACCATGCAAGAGGAGCGTAGAAAAAAAATCGTGCACGGTCACCTGGAAAATCCATCGTGGTCCGCGTTAAAGCTGGCTAAAGTGTTGAATTTCCATAGAAACACCGAATAGCGCGTGCTCAAAACGTACCGGGAAACCTTGACGACGAATCGGAAGCCTCAAATTAAATGCCGGAGTGGAACTGCCAACCGTCACCTCCATGGAAAGGTTGTGAGGTCCATCATAATCAACTCAGGTATGTCCGATCACGATTTGAGTAAAAAGTATGATGCTGTCCGTAGTATAGTGCAGCAAATTCGCTACCGCGAAGGCCTACGAGCATACCACGCCAGTAGGCAACCAAATCGAGCAAGTGTCCCTGGCTTTTTCAAATGTTAAATTCAGTCCTCTATATCCGTAATATGCGCACGAGGCTCAAACCTTTGTAGACTACTATTTTTTTTACTACTACTATTAAATCAAATATCAAAAATCCATCATCACCATCGTGGTGAACAAAATAGTTTTTGCAGTGCTACAATAATTATTAAAAAGTCGTTATAACAGCTATCCATACAAAATAATCCGTTAAAAATAACTTCTTCAAGATACATAATTTGTCAATTCATAAAAAAAATCACTGGATAACCGTTCAAAATACAGTTTTAACGTGTGAAATGCAATGTCTCTTAAATTCTGCTAATGTTGTTGCACGTTTAATGTATCTAGGCATCGAATTGAAAACATTTATTCCTTTAAAAAATAGTGAATTCTGTGAAGCACTAGTCAAGAAATGTGGTGTTCTTATTTCATCCGCGTTTCTAGTATTATATCTAAGATAATCACTTCCTCTTTCAATTCGATAACACAAATATCGAGGCAGCAAACCGTTAACTACTTTAAAAATGAACACCATAGTCAAAAATACAATTCTTTGCTTCACCGACAACCATTGCGAGGCGTCTAGCATCAAAGTTGAGGAAGTCAATCTATTACATCGCAAAACCAAGCGCTCCCTAATAAACAAATACCATAAACGAACTGTATCCCGGATAGGTAAACTATCCCACAAATGGTTTGGATGATACCCCGAACACGTCGTTAAGCTCTCTTTTATGGTTATTTTTTATTAAAGCTGTAACCTCGATATTTGTGTTTCATTGGACAGAAATAAAATAGATGGGCAAAAGTCTAGATGAGGAGAGATGATTGATTTGTATAGTTTCATTTTACTGGCAACAGTTAAATCGTTTTTCAATCGACATAGAATTCCATACTTCTTGGCAATTTTCTTGATGACATTGTCAATGTGAGAATTGAACTTAAGTTTGTCATCAATAATCACGCCAAGATATTTAATCTCCCGAACGCGATCAATAGTCTCATCATCAATTACAACAGAGACGTTCTCATTTCATTAATTCCGCGAAATTACCATAAATTTAGTTTTAGCTGCAATGAATAACACAGTATCATCTGCAAAAAGCTTAATGTCGCAAACCCGTAAAACACTTCGCTAGTCATTAATATACATAATGAATAAAAGGGGCCCTAATACACTTCCCTGGGGCACTCCAAGGTTATTCCCCACGGGACTGGAAACAGAATCATTAAAAACAGTCCGTTGAGTTCTGTCAGATAAATAGCTTTCAAACCATTTATATGCAGTACTCGTAATTCCAAAGCGCTTGATTGTACTTAACAGTAAGGGCATATAAATTGTTTCAAAAGCGCGTTTCAGATCCAAAAAAACAGCAAAAATCGTATCCTTACGCTCCAAGTTGTCTTTCCACTTTGCTAACACCAAATTCAACGCAGTTTCACAAGAATGACTTTCCCGATATCCTGATTGTTCTGGTATCAATAAAGAGTTGCTATTCAAATACTCCAACAGCTGGCCTTTAACAACAAGTTCTCTAAGATTTTCTCTAATGTGTGCAACATATTGATAGGACGAAACTCTTCGGATTTAATCGTTCCAGCAACTTTTTGAATAGGAACCACTAAGGATTCCTTCCAAATTTGTGGCACATGTCCATTCTGCAATGATTTATTAATAAGGTGCAGAAAGATGTGGCCAATGACATGAAAGCAATCTTGAATAACTCTAGCATTAACATCATCTACTCGAACCGATTTTCCTAATGAAAAGCAAATAACTCTAAGTTCATCTAATGTAATTGGGTGAAAACCTTCAAATCTACAACTACTATTAACTGGCTGTTTTATTTCGTCAGGTTCATCGACCAATTCAATGAATTGATTCATCAATGAAACACTTTCGACGAAATAATCATTGAACTTAGATGCAGTTACTTGTTCTGACTGTTCTAATGTGCCATTAAAAGAAATGGACCGCGGTTTGCAATTACAGCAACAATATATCCCGGAATACAATACTGATCAAAAGCTTCGGTTTCTACAATATGAGTTTCAGATAATAAAACTAAAAGAGGACGTTTTTCCTCAACAATCTGACGTCCATGCCCTTGTGCCCAAATTCTCCACATTTGAAGCATCTCAACACATTAATCGCGGGAACTATCGAGCACCGATCAAACCCTACATTTATTTTTTTCGCACATAACAAACATTTATACGTATCGACATCGACTTCAATTACAACACTAAACTTGTTATAAGTGAAGCGTGAATTTTCGAACATGTTCACAACTTTTACATCATTAATAGCGAATCTTAGGAAAACTAATCGCTCATGCCCACTATTTTCAATCTTGGCACCGAAGTGGGAACAACAGCACTATATTTTGCACCCAGATTGCTTTCAATACCATTTTTCACATCACTTACATTTGCTCCTGTTGCACACTCAACAATAATGAAGCCATCTTTACCATTCCTAAAATTACTGATTTTGTGTGTTTTTGGATCCAACTGAGTTTTCAAAAACTTACGAGTATTTTCGCAAGGTTGTTTGGACTCTTTCGGTTTTGCCACAATGACTGGACGAGTCTTACGATTATCTGGTTTGTTACTTTTACTGTTACTGTTACTATTAGTTTTACTTTGACTAGCACGACTGTGTATTTTTACAACATCCGCAAAACTAGCATTTTCTTGAAAAACAACATCATCATCATTATCACTATTTTGTATTTTACGTTTTTTGCGTTTGGTATTTTGGTCCGATTCTGACTGAATCGTCCTAGATGAACTGCACGGATCATTCTTTACAGCTAATTGGTTTTCCGCATCAATTTTAAAAAATGAACTTTTCATATTATCCAATTTCTCACAAATCAAATTTTCAAGACCATTTACATTTATTCTAATATCTGCCATCCCGCTTTTAACCGCGATGTCCACCTGAGCAGCAATGTGATCTCGCATGCCAGTGATCGAGTCCGAGAGTTGAAAAACCTTCTTCATTTCTTCCTCTATCCTTTTGACGCGCGAGATCAGATCATTCTGCTCGTCACAACTGATATGATAGACAACTATCACACTTGAACAGAACATTTGCATTATCTGCTGCCTTGCCGCAGTCTTAGTGAGTGCCGCACAAGCAAAATGGAACGTTCCATTGCACGGACCTACACATGTAACTGGGAGTCCACTCATAGCAATAGACTGCTCGCATACATTACACACATTCATTTTACCAACTTAAACGCTAACACTGTTAGCAGCAGACATATACAGGGGAGGAGAACACAAAATAAAATTTTACCACCACAGCTCACTATACAGAAGCAATAGCGCGCCGGAGGAAAAATACAAAATTCAACAAGAACGAGTTGCTAGGCAACCTTTCCTCTACTTATCCTGTTAAAAAAAACACAACGGGCACGCGTTGGA